ATTTCTGTAAAAACGTTTACAATTTTATGAAACCAACTGGAACAAATGGAAACTACGAAAACTGCTTCATGTCGGTGTTCATGTCTCCCATCATCTTTTTAATATATCACATGCAATATAATTGTACAGGGTGTACGGAGAGTACCGGGACAGCGAAATATCTCGAAAACTAAACATTTTAGATATTTCGCCGTCCCGATACTTTTCATACACTTTATATGTAACTTAAATCCAGATTTCGGGAGATCAAACTAGACCCCGGTTCGATCCAAAGAAATTTTCTATGCGGAAAAATTCCAACGAGAGATTTCGCGAAGAAAATACGATTCCACTTTCTCTTCCCGGAGAAATATCGTGATATCTCAACAAAGCCCAAAATTATTTTCTAAATTGGAAACAGTGTATTCCGCATATACTGAAATGTTATGCTCAATAACCGGTGAATCGATTATAAATATAACACGGCAATCAGTAAAATCTTACTGAAAGGTGCAGTTCAGCAATTGTTTCCATTGCTGATAGAGTTTGCAAACATAGTTAGTGTCACCGCGCGCAAAGCGCATAGAAATCCATCGTCCATGAACGCAGCAAGTTTCATCCCTAAGCTGTTAACGACGGAAATATCTGCGGAAAGGAAAATGGCTTCTGCTGTGTCGAAGGAAATATCCTCGCATTAAAAAGGAATAAATACTTATGACGGAGCAACTGGAGCAAGACATATGTTTATGTCTTCGGGGTCATTGAATTTAAAATTCAGAAACAAAAAAATATAACGCCCAACAATTGCTTTGTTATAAGTATTATTTTTTTTTTGTATTCCGGAATGCGCGAATATTTTTGCGCCATCAGCAGTTTGGGCCGCCGCTCTTCTTTCCGCGGATATTCCCGTCGTTAATAGCTAAGGGATTAAACGTGGCACAGCGTGTGGCGGATTTGTGCGCCACAGAATTTGCGGTGAGATCTTACCTCCGCTCCGGTCCGCAAATCAGATTTAAGGCGCGAAGCGTCTCTCAAGCGGGCGTGTTTTCACTGAAGATCACTCAACGCGCTCAACGATTGTCCGTGAAACACCCTTTTCACCGATCCCATCGGGGACATTTCCACTGACTCACTCGAAGAGAGTACGATTGCGTCGGCCGAGCGAGCGTAAACTCAGCGTAATTTTTCTCACTCAGACTCGCGCGGACGACAACGTCTCTCGCGCGCGCGCGAGAGAGGCGTCCGCGTCGCCGTGGAACGCCGCCGGTCGTCGAAGCGCCGCCATCTCCCGTCCGCGAGAACGCGAGGCGCGAATCGATGTGGGTTCAACGGTTTCGTTAACCTCCCGGCGAAAACGAAAGTCACCGCGTGCAGCAACGTCAGAGAGACAGCAGCAACATCAGCAGCCGCGCAGCGTGCGCGGCGCGATGGTCTCGCGCCGCGCCGGAGGAGGCCGACGGCATGGCGCGCGCGACCTCGATCGAGGACACTCGCCCGGCCGAGAATCGCGGATATCCTTTGGGCCTTGCTGTGTTACATCAATGCGCATTATGATGCAAAACGCGGCGCGTAACGCCGCGCCGGAAGGTGCATTAACACGGCGCGAGCCGGCGAAAATATCTCTCCTTCCACCCCGCGCCACGCGGCGCGGCGCGTTACGCACATGTCGCTGACGCGCGGCGCATGCGCACCTGCGCGTGTGAGCCCATGAGTCGCGTGAGTCGCGGTCAAACGTACCTTATCCATCGGGCTAAACTCCTGCGGTCTCGCTGGAAATGTCACACTCGAGTGAGCCACAGTCACGGGACTCTCGCGAGCCGCGAGCCGCGGACGCCTGAATGTTCGGCTAACCTCGCCATCTCGCCGATGTTTCATCGCTCGACGTGGAAAGTGCGAGCGGTATCGTGAACCCGGTAAGCCGCGGCGAGGGTGTTCGAAATTCGCGGGCTACGCGTTTCACTTGGCCGCTTAACACTTTACATGCGGGCGATGTGTTTGACTTTTACAGCGCTCATCTGCCGGCAACGCGGCGAATTCCCGATCCCATGTCGATGAAGCGGCGAATCTGCTTCGCAGATTGACAACGCCGTTTTCTCGCTGTTGATCGGCAAAAGTAGCCCGCGCGGCACGTAGCTCAGGGAGGATTCACATTTGAGGAAAAAGAATCGAGAAAACAGAAAGGTGGAAATCAGAACTCTCTCTCTCTCTCTCTCTCTCTCTCTCTCTCTCGAGAGAGAGAGAGAGAGAGAGAGAGAGAGAGACACAAACTACCAGCGCGACTTCTGATTGGCTGCTGCCTTTCTGTTCTCTGCTTTTTTCCTCGAGTAGACGAATCCTCCCTTAAGGGGTAACATCTGAGTGAACGCCTGAAAATACAGAGTAAATTTGGGAATTTTTTGTAGTTAAATAACAACATCGATGGAAAATTAGTTTGAAGGCCTCTAACGTGCATACCTTAAACTATACAAAACAATTTTTTGTTATTATTTTGCTTCAAGATGGCGACGCTGAAGTTCTCCGAGTGAAACCACGTTTTTCAAATTGGCTTGCGGCAGAACTTCAACAAATTTCATCCGATCCACTCGAAATTCTTACAGTAGCTGCTAAACTAAATTCTCTAGAGAAGTACACATGATCTTTACAATCGGTTAAAAACTTTTGTTATTGCAAATATTTTTTTCACTGAATTTCTGGGACAAAACTAAAACTTTTTTTTTCTAATGTTCACCATTTCTACAAAAATCGATATTTTAACATATACGTGTTTTAACATATACTTCTCTAGCAAATTTAATGTAGATTAACAAAAATCTTGCCTTTCTGTCCTTTTCGAAAGTGTACAGCATTTCTGCTGCAAGCCGCGGGAAGAGAAAACCCATGAGAAAAATGCGGTTTTACTTGGAGAACTTCAGCGCCGCCATCTCGAGGCAAAATAATGACAAAAAATTGCTTAGTGTAGTTTACGGGACGCACGTTAGAGGCGTTCAAACCAATTTTTCATCTATGTTGTCATTTAACTACAAAAAATTCCCAAACTTACTCTGTGTTTTCAGGCGTTCACTCACAGATGTTACCCCTTAAGCTGTGCAAAATATCCCGCATATAAAGCGTTAACATCGCGATACGCACAGATCGAGCGTGCATTCGTCTGTCGGGACCAAGCTTTTCTCGACATCTCTCGCGGACATACGAACTATGAAAATACGAATATCGGTAGTACACAAGTGCTACCAACCGAAGGTGCGGTGGTGCCTAGACACTCGCGAACAAAAAGGGATCGGACGCGAGAAGAATCGCCGTGAACACGCGCAAAGCGTGATGTCACACACGGCGAATGTCAATAGACGTCGGGAAATTAACGACGCGAACTTTTTCCCGTCCTTCGTCGCGTAATTTAACTCGGCTACTCTACTGCGCTTAATACATCAAAGCGACAAACGTGCCAACTACAGCCAACTACACACCGTGCGGGAATATCGATAGTTAAAGGACAATCACGTTGCTAAATTGCCTCGACGAACTATGTACACTATGCAAGCATGCTAGTCGATACTTGGCGAAAATGTACCACACATGAGAACGCCTCAAATTACACCGCCATCTTCCCCATTCTATGTCGCGGATGTATACATCATGGTACTCGACTCGAGAGATCTACGTGAGCGCAAAGAGACGACGCGAGCGAGAGAAAGAGAGAGAGAGAGAGAGAGAGAGAGAGAGAGAGAGAGAGAGAGAATAGTCTTCGTATGCTAAATGATGTATTGTCTCATCGGTTTGTTTGGAGAACAGAGAAAAGAAAAGAGCGAGAGAGAGAAAGAGATATAATATCGTATTATACAGGGTATCCGGGATCTTTCCGGGAAACGGAAAATTGTAAATTGATTAATCAGATGAAACTTAAAAGAAAAGTCATGTATTATTTTGCAAAAATCGCAACGGCAATTAAGTTATTAATGAATGAAAATTGATTTTCATTCATTAAATTTTGAATTTTAATTGATAATTTGAAAATTTGCGTACTTAGCGACAGATTCAGGATTTAGGGTTCAATTAGGGTTCATATCTATCACTGGACACTAGACACAGAGCCGTCATATAATTGTAGGTTAGGTTATTCCGAAGAAAAAAGTTCTCCATCATTTGGCAAATAAGTGCGCGAATTTTCAAGTTATCAATTAAAAGATCCTTTAAATGTGGTCATTTTCAATCATTAATAACTCAATAATTACTGCAATTTTTGCAAAATGGTAGACGATTTTCCTTCTCAGTTTGACCTGATTAATCTACACAATTTTTCGTTTCCGAAGGATCCCGGACACCCTGTATGTATTATATATATTCTTTCTTTCTCTTCTTGATTCCTCGAATTTGGATAAAGCGAAACACTCGTCTTATCGGAGTCAAGACCCGTAAATAACCGCCGCACTTTAAATGGTGTGCATAAAGAAAACGGAAAATTGCTGATTAATGTCGTTACGTAACAGCGCCTCGTTAGTAAAATGTGCAAAAATATTCGCTTTACGTAACCCTCTTCTACCATAACCGGATTGTATAACAAATGCACGACGTGACAGCGTTTTACCGCAACTTTCTCTGCAAACTCACGAAACCAAAAGTTAATAAATCGACGTTGCCACGCCGATGCATGTATAAGAAGAAGGTATTCATCAGTTCGTATCGTGAGTACCGATTGTTCCGTCAAAATTATACACAACTACGTAAACTAATTATTTCTCTTCTAATCAGACACGCGACTCAATCATATTAATATAAAGTTATATCACGCGGCCAAGTGGTCAACATGTGCAAAATAAAAAAGAGAAATATATATATATATATATATATATGTACATATAAACACGAACATATCCATCCTTCTCCAAGGCGTCGCCTGGATTCTCTCTCTCTTCGCTATGCGCACTCGTCGCGAAACAATAAATACAAAAGGGGAGCAGGGAGAACGACGATCGGTGAGGAACGAAAGGCGTGGTCGCATGCTATTAGTAATAGTGAAGACGTACCCTGTACCAAGTGGCCACCTGCGAGGCGCTCGAAAGGGGTGGAGAAGCGGTGGTGGTTTATCCGTAACACAACCGGAGAAGTGGAGGGTGGAGGGCCCGGGAGGCGCGTATTTTTTTGTTTTGCGGATTTGTATTCGTTCGTACGAAGGGGGGTTGTGCGCGCGTTCGTAGATAGGCCCCACAACACGAGACGATAGCACAGACGTGTGGCGGTTGGTGGTGGCGGGTGTGGAGTGTATTTCGCCCCGTGCAGGGTGAGGCAAAAGCAAAAACAACAACAACAACAACACCACAGATCAGAAAATACACTGTCATCGACGATCACGCACGCTCTTCGCGAGGCGATATATATATATATATATATATATATATATATATATATACACACACGTATGTATGTCTGTATACATATATATATACACGTATGTATACGCATCTATGTATGTATGTGAGTATGTATATGTATGTATATACATATACACATACATATGTATGATTGACTTTTGTTTTAAACTCTTTGTTTACAACAAAAGTTTTAAACATGTTTTAAACATTCGAAAATTTTACACATATATATATATATATATCTTTTAAAACATGTATCATTTTAAGCGTTTAATATAAATTTTGGATGTAAAATTATTAAATATATACATTATTGCACGATTATTAAAAAAAAATAATTATCACATGTACATGTATATATATATATATATTATATCTATTTACTTAATAATTCACATCTTGCACATATTTCATAATTTATTTAAGTGAAATGATTAAAGAAAAGTTTTCTTATTAAACAATCAACTATATTCTAAATCTCATCAAAAATCAAATGTTCAAACCAAAAACCGAACACATGTATGTTCAGAACATAAAATTGTTTCAAACAAAAAGAAAATTATATTTTGGGTTTTTTTTACTTTAAACATGTCTTTACCAATCCTGCATGTATACGTATGTATATACATGTATGTACGTATATATAAATCTATACACGTATATAATAAATGTATGAGTAATTAATACAAGTGCATATACATATCGAAAAATGTTATCCCAGGATGAATTGGAAGACAGGCGCTTAATATGTTTAACACACACACATATATATATATATGTTATATATATATATATGATTCTTTTTTTACGATAATTGTCACATGGAAAGTTAACGTCTCTCTCTCTCTCTCTCTCTCTCTCTCTCGTATTAACGCGCCAATATTTAATGCGATGCAAACGGTCGTCGAATTCATCCTGTGAGCGCAGGGTGTAAAATATATCTCAATGAGAGAAAGTATAGCGTACACACACACGAGTGTGTACGCGTGCGTGTATGTATGTACGTGTGCATGTATACGTGTGTAACGAAATCATAAACGGTAATCAATGGGTTCGACGGGACTTTTGAAACGGGATCAAGACGCGTACCAGTACGCGTTGTTCTTTTTTCTTCATGCAAAACGGAAAACGCGCGTATGATCCGATCAATGCGCCGTGTACTGGTACTGCGCGTATCCAGATCGCTTGAAGTCTCTCCCTCCCACGTGCCAGATGCACCAGTCGTTGCGTACATATTTTTGCTCGAATAATCACACCAACAGAACACTCTGTGGATCGACCTGGTGGAACGTGGCGCGTGAGAGAGAATTAAAAGAAATGTACACATATCGCGAAATATGCAGACGAGTCGACGAGTCGACGAATCTGCGAGAGAAACGAAAAGGGGATGACGAAGCGGTCGAGAGAACAAAAATGTCAGGTGATAAGCAGTCAGTAGTCGTTGTTCTGCGGAGGACTTAACGGGAACATATATCGGGGTTTCTGTGCTGTACCTCCTGTGTCCCGGAAGGCAAGCATGTGGGGCAGAAAGACGACACGCGTGAAAATTCTTGCGTGACAGTGAGAGCGAGAGCAAGAGCAAGAGAGAAAGAGAGTGAGTGAGTGAGTGAGTGAGTGAGTGAGTGAGTGAGTGAATAAGAAAGAGAGAGAGAGGGGGGAGGGAGGGAGAGAGAGAAAGAGAGAGAGAGAGAGAGAGAGAGAGAGAGAGAGAGAGAGAGAGAGAGAGAGAGAGAGAGAGAGAGAGAGAGAGAGAGAGAGAGAGAGAGAGAGAGAGAGAGAGTGAGAGTGAGAGGGGCGGAGGAAGGGAGCAGAGAAAGAGAAGGAAAGTGGAAAGAAAAGAAATAACAGGACGGAAGACTGAGCGTGACTGGCTTGACAGAAAGCGAAAAGCCACACACATATCGATATTCTAGTCTCTATTTCGCCCAACAGAGAGATATACTCGCGCGTGTGTGCATGTTCATCCTCGACACGCGTCTTCGGCAACAAGGTGCGCGTCTAACACGTGCTTGTGCGGTCGTCAAAGTTCCCAAGAGTCGGACGAGAGTACGACGTGAACGAGTACCTGGTGGTATTCAAAGGCGATGACGAGTATCGAATCGCGCGCAACGCGTTGTAGACCGAATCGGACGTGATTTCTTTGGAATCGTGCGAG